TTTCATTCAAGCACGCTTTCACTCCATAAGTAGATTTAATTGATTTACTTTGATTCAAAATCCCATGGGGAAAAACGCTATATGCCATGAGAATCAGCTCATCGAGGTCTACAAACTGGCATATGTCAGATTCCAAACGCTGCGTCACACTTGGATACCTTCCCTCGTAAGAGATAAAAATATTTTTGGAATGAATTATCAGAATAAGTTTTCTTTCGGCATAAAATATCTAGAAAGAATACTTCACTGAAAAAATCTCTTAACGAATTTTAATTCCATGGAGTGAAAGCGTGCTTGAATGAAATAAAATGAGTTTTTAGATTCGAGGCGTGTAGTTGGGTGTGCGTGATATTGAATTGGTGTAGAATATGTGGATTTCGGTTAGGTATCGAGGTATAGGCAAAAATGTGATTGGATGAATCTATGACAACATGCAACAGACAGATATTGATACCCTCACGGAAAAGGATACTGAAGCGCATGTTGACATCCACACCCACATTCACCCTATGTCTAGTATTGGATACACATATTGCCTAGGGTTGTAAAGTAGTGTTTTATACGCAAAGAGCTGAATATTCAGTCGATGATCAAGCGAGTCTTGTGACGAGCGTTACTTATATTCAACATCAGAATTAATCAAAAATGCAGCTATATCAGAAATGTCAAAATTTATTCAAAAATTAAAAAAACCTAAGAAATTTGAAAAGTTATTAAAAGAAATAAAATCAATTGAAAATATTGTTATTATTCAAGCTGGTAAGGGTGGGAAAATAGTGATAATGGATAAAATAGATTACAGCAATAAAATTGAAGAAAAATTAAATGACTTGAATATCTATGAACAAGTGAAAAAAGATCCAACAACAACAATAAGAACAGAAATCAATAAAATGTTAACCAAACTATTAAATCAAAATAAAATTACAGAACAAAATAAATTCTATTTAGCATCAATTGATGATCTTCCTAAAATTCGTGGTCAACCTAAATTACACAAAACAATGCTTCAACGAGAATTGTTACGTGTTCAAGAGACAGAATGACATCACCATTATCACAATTCACATTCAAAATAATTAAAGAATTAAGAACAATACTAAATGGTGTTGTATGTAATACATCGAAATTTGTCAAAAATATTTCAAATATTAAATTGGATCAAGACAATCATTTGGCAAGTCTTGACATTCAAAATTTATATACAAACATACCAGTTAATAAAGCAATTGACATTACATTAAAGCGGGTGGAAGAATCTAATAAATTAAAAACTTTATCGTTCACTAAAACTGATATTAAAGACTTATTAAATTTAGCTTTAAAGAACAGTTATTTTGAATGTAATGGTAAATATTATAAACAAAAAGCAGGTTTACCTATGGGTAATGCATTATCACCATTATTAGTCGGCATATATGTGGATGAATATCAAAAAACAACATTTATTTGAAATAAATATTCCGAATAAAATTTGGAAATATGTTGACGATATTCTAATTGGAACAAAATACGTGTAAACAATAAAATTCATCTATGAATTTGAACAAAACAATGAATTAAATTACCTTGGCACAACACTAACAAAAATTAATATACATAATGAAACAAAACTTAAAATTAGATGGTTTCGAAAAGACACAGCTGCAGATTTATTATTGAATTACCAATGAAGTCATGGAAAATCCATCAAAAGAAACATCGTCAAGAACATGACTACAAGAATTTTAGAAACAACAGAAGACAGTCAAGATCAAAAAGAAGATTTAAATAAATTAAGAAACATCTTGCTAAAATCCAATTATCCATTAAAGGAAATTTGAGAAATTAATTAAGCAAACATGTGAAGAATTTAAATCAAACAACAACAGATGCAGCGATCAAAATAACAATCAATCATCCACTCAAAATAAAAATAATGAAATGAATCGTAGTTTGACATTATCATATGCTCCTGATATAGAAATGTTAAAAAGATGACTTGAAAAGAAATTAAAAATTATATTATATTTTTCATATCCATACAAACTACAAACACAATTTAATCAATCATTAAAAGTTCCATCAAAATCTGTCATTTACCAAATTCCATGCTCATGTAAACAAACTTACGTTGGACAATCCAAAATTGGTATTGATTATCGTATGAAAAAACATTGAAAAATTATAAATGATCATGACAATAATAGTAACTCAGAAATGGTTAAACATTTTCAAGAAAAGAAATTTCGATGTTTATTTGATACAAATAATGCATTTATCATTGAAGAAGAAAAAGATTATTGGGAAAGATGTACAAAAGAAGTAATATATTCAATAGTAAGCGAATCGATAAATGCACACAATGAAATTAATGCATCATGGACATCAATACTATATAAAGCCAAACAACAGATCCAAAGAAAAATCCAATCAGGTCGAGAAAATTATAACAAATATAAAAGAAATAAAATTTAACGAAAAACAAGACGGTGATGGTGATACAGAAAAACGAATCAATCCTTATCTAGCTATTATTATTACCGTCTTGTTTTCCGTATCACTATCAAAATATGACTGATATCAAAGGAAAGAAAAATTGTTTTTTGTATCTATGTACTTGTCATTTGTCATAATTATAATGTCTGATGAAGTATCTCATCGAGAGAAGCAACTTCACAATTTTTAAATCTAATTAAATCACTAATATTAAATTAAAATAGAAACTAAATTAAATTAGTTAAAATGCAAATAAAATAAAATAAAAATAAGAGAAGAGGATTTAAATGATATTAAAAAAACTGCTCAATTAAGTACCAGGACTTCAGCTAGAGCGTGATTACAGCAGGGTCCGGATCATGGCCAACATTCTTTGCAAAATATAGTCGTTGAGAGTAGGACTACAACATTTCAAGTTCGAAATAATTGTCGCACTGCTCGATCCGTCCATGTGAACTGAAATGAAATGGAACTGCTAAAGTCCTTGTTAAGAGTTCAGTGAGATTCCTGTATTTTAATTAGTTGAAAAATGAATTTCTTGTTCTCTATTCTTTTCAATCCCCCTCACCGCTCTTCGCTCATCTAATTTTAAGAACTATATGAATGACGATAATAATGGTCAATAATGTACAACTGCGCATCATGAAGACTCATAGTAAGTCATCAATGACAGTGTCGACATGGTATGTTTATTCTTGCATTTCAAGAATCCAAGGATCACAGAGCTGTATAATGAAATACGAAGAAGCATTTGAATGATTACACAAGAGCAATATGAACAGTGAATCATGCAACAACATCGAAAGCAAAGCAAACGAGTGGATGAAGATCGAGAATATGAAGTACGATCATTCTTTTCCAATCTTGTTTTCCGCTTATGTCTCATGAAAGATTTTCCGTTGTTTTTCTTCCACCTTCAGATGACTGTTGTGCAATCTTGATTGTTTGAAGTGAAACTGGATTTTCAGTTGTACCATCAAGAGGTTTAATGTTATTTCTGTGAAAATATTCCATAAACAGTTGCTTGACACATTTTCTCACCTCACTGGACATGTACCAGTATATGTAAAAGGTGCACATATAATGGCAGTGATATAAGAAAAGAATGACTTGTCCGATGACATATTCGACACTCAGACGAAGAGAATCTTTCTGAACATTACTGGTTAAATCCAAATATATACCTTGAAAACCGAACGGAACACCCGAAAAAGCCAATATAACTAATTGAGGAAAGAGCATACGACGAACTTGTTGGGCTAAATTTTCATGGGACCCTTGAGCGATAGCTCCGCGAAGGTTTCTTACAGTACCCATTGTAAAAATGGCGATCATCAGAATCGGACAGATACTGAAGATCAAAGGTGTCCATACATACGTAATGAAGGTTGTATACAGTCCGCTTAGCAGCACACACGCACCATCGACGATACCACTGACAAAGATTACTGGCACGTATGTGAGAGCCCAAAATACCATAGTACCAACAATTGTCAAGCGAGCGACTCAAACGGAACTCCAGCGATTGCGAAAAGTGGTATTTCGAGATGTCGCAGCATAACGAAACGGCCGAAACAGTGGTCGTATAAAGCAGGTAATTGTGTTCACTACAAGCAGCGTGACTCGTATTGTAGACATCCAAGCCAAAATCATTAACAAGAATACTTTGCAGATAAACTACCGGTAAATGGATTCCAGTCAACACTGCATCAGCCAGAAGATAACTGATACATGGATTAAGCCAAAAACTTTAGTAAATATTAAAATGTTTAGAATAGATCCAACAATGCCAAAAATGAGCAGCGGCAACGAGACGGTATAATTAAACCATCGTGTAATAATGATAGCCGTTTCAATGCTTCACATGGCAAAAAAATGATATGATCGTCTTTGATTTTTTCTTTTCATGCATCGGGAAAGTAAATTCGTCGGATGTTGTTTGCACACGAATGGTTTTGTCTTTTTTCTGTTTCGGAGTTCACCTCCCTTTCTTGCAAAAGAATTTCTTCTGAAACGTTGAAAAGTAAGAGTAAGACAAGCAGTACGCATGAAAAATCTCGTCTTGATCGCATCCATTGACGCTATGTGACAAGGCATCAGTGCCGCTTGATTCATTCGAAGAAAAAGCCTGCTTTTGACGTACGCATGATATTCTTGATTTCTACATCAAAACTCATCTGTATCTTTTCAAGCATATCTAGGTAGGCTAGCGATGTTCACAGTAAATGTCATGTTTTAATAAATATCACTTGATGTCATCAGTATCGAAATGATGCCAGAAAAATGTCGTGCAAAACTGATGACTAATTTGTGCACCGAGTTAGGCTCGGTCAGTCAAACTACATCAGAAATACTTAAGTAATTATGAGTAACAGTTGCACTCGTTGAGGTGCATTTTTAGTTGGGAAAATACTTGTTGCAGTTCGATTTTACGAGAAACGCTACAGGAGGGCATGCAGAATTCTTACCAATAAGAATTCACAATTTTATAACCTTATCCATCTTTCGAAACAAATTAATTGACAGTTTTACATAGAATTCTGCTACTAAAGCAGGAAGATAAGCCTCACCGCAGCATATATACATTACACAGTACAACTGAATATTAGATTCAATTGAAGAATTTAAAACTGCCAGCAGAATTTCATTAGAATTATTTTTTAACGTAAGACCCTAAATCAAATGAAAGCAGATCGACGTATCTCTTAACGAAAAGACAAATCAATCTGCTAAGCTCATCTCTTGCTTTTCAGCAATCAAGTGAATCGACTAATACAATTAATTATATACAAATATGTTGGAATTTGAAGAAATGAATGAAAGAAATGCAGAATTTAATTTTGCCGATACGTTCCGTGTTATTTATTAATATATTAAAACACTCATCAGGGCTCTGCATTTTACAATTTAAAGCAAAAACAAAGAATAAAAATAAGGATGAATATGAATAAAATAAAAAAAATGCAGACCTGAATGAAAATAATCGTAGAGAATGGCAAATGAAAAAAATGTATAATGCTGATAACGTATAAAAATGGTATAAATGTTAGAAAGGATCTACAAATTTAGACACTTTAATCATATAAATATTATAGTGCAATTGCAGGTTTGAATTCTACTAGATTCTGGAAAATTTAGTCAGAAATTAGGGGATGCAAATTAATTATACGGTGGAGTTCTTAAAACGAAGCTAGTATCTGAATTGTAATTTCATACTTTCGTAGTTTTTAATATTATATTTCATTAATATGGTTATCTTGGATTGTGATTTAACAATGTAACGGAATATTTTAATTTTTTAAATCGTAGATTCTAATTTGACTTGCAGTATAATATGATTTTCAATAATATTGTATAAATATAATAACAAGTTCATATATATTACCATTTATAGTTTGTAGTATACTGATATATTGCATGTAGTATTGAATAATCTCACAATTCATCTAGATTAGCAACAAATCTATTACTTTAAAACAAATTGCGCGTTGTTTTAGTGATTACGTAATATAGAGGTTGATTTGTGATAGACTACATTTATATCGATTGCTAAATTTATATCGAAGGAGTTTAGCAGTGTCAACGAACATTTCCATGGGAAGTCAACCACAAAAAACAAAAAGTATTCAAAAAAATTTCGTTTCTATATGGTTTTGTAGAGCTTTTTACGCTGATCATTTTAGTAAACAAAAGTTGCAGATTTTCTTTAAGAATAGCGATGCCATGATCAAAATACTGACAACCCGGAAATAGCTGAAAATGCATTTTTTGGACTTTTTAATAGAGAATATTTCATGATGTATCCCGTCTTTTTTCTGCATCTTTTCAAAGAATATACAATGAAATTATATATTCTGATAGCCAGAGAGCCAAAGTACAAGAAACGATGAATTTTGACGCATTTTTGTCAATAAAATCGACGACTATTCAATAACCGCCAGCCGCGGAAGTTCCAGAACTTCCACAGGGGCCTGC